CTGGTGATTCTTTTTAAATAACAAATTTATTATCTTGTTTGTTAAATCAGCCTCTTATGATTATTTAATAATTACTTATTGATCTGAGCTTGACTTCAGTTTTTTTATATATTTTCAATAAAACTTACGTTTAAGATGTCTATTATGTATTTTTATTCTGCACGGCGAGAATTTTTACAATTTGTTTTGGTTTGTATAGAACGCTTATAATTTCTGCGTTGATACGTCGATACTTTTATTTAATTGTTGAAGTAATAAATTACAAGTGTCATTTAATCAGCAATCAGTCGCTAATTAATCTCAATTATCAATAAGCTTTTAATACATATCTCTACACTTGTCATTTTAATTAATTTTAGATTCGAAGAGATTTAAAGATGCTACTAGATTAGATATTACCTAAAGCTTTTACTAATATTATCAATATTATTATATAAAAATATAGTAAGACTTTAGGAACAACCTAGTTAATGTTAACATCAATGACGAAACACTAGTACAGGAACTGATTCGATGGAAGTACAGGTTTGGATAGCAGCCTTAGGCAATCTTGTGCAATCTATGTATAACGGTGATTTATAATTTCGAGAATGACTTGATGTAATGAAATATGGAATGTACTAGTAATGTAAAGTACTGTAAACAATTTTACTGGTAAAATGCGGGTAGAGTATTGGCTGATATATAAAAAAGTTAGTACTAAAAATAGTCTGTCGGCATTCTTAAGATGAAGATAAATTCACCGTCCATTGTCCGGGTTATTTTCTTGCACAACTTGTATGTATTCCTGACGGAGATACTTATCGGTCGATCATTCGAAATCTCGTCACGAACAGAACGATGTATGTAGGTTCTGGACGAAATACAGAATACATATTTATTCGTCGTGTGCACCTCCTTTGCCTCCCGGACGTCTCCAGAATATTTTACTCATTGCCACCGATGAAGACTGCCGTATGTGTACGTATGCACCTAATGAGCATTCTGAGAAACCGTTTTATTAATCGTTTTCGTTGTAACCCTATGTTACACGAGAAATTTCAATTGTAAGACAAATTAAGTGGAGCTGGAGTTCTAAACGTACAACTCAACAAAGTATTTGTACTATGACAAAAATTTTGTACTACATCGATTATACCTTTTTCTATTCACAACATTGACTGTCTATGGCGAAATACGTTTAAATACATTACATCTGAACGAAGTGAAAGTATGTTAAAATTGAAATGATAAAAGAACCGAGTAGCAAAGTTAAAGTTAACTCGACAGTAAATTCAGTATATACTTGGAACTTGGAAAAATTGTCTTCTTCATTAAATATTAGACTTCATAAGATATCTTGTTTCTACATTTGCGTAATTTTACCCTGGAAACTTAGTAAGTCAAATGTAATGGATATTAAGTCGTACGGTCGTTAACATCCAGCATAAATGTAATAACTTAGCCGGCTCAATGACTTAACTACAACGACTAAAAGTATTTATATCGCGTGTAATCGAGCGTAGAGAAATTGGACAACAGAGGCAATTTGTCTAGTCATCATAATTAGTGCTGATCATCATATAACTAGGCTAATGAAAGTTTGCTGGCATTTTACTCAATAGTTTTACTTTCCATACACTGCTGTGCAATATGTATCTATCTTTTACATTATTGTTTAAAAAATTGGTATCGTAAAATGAATCAATTAAATAATATTAAGTGTTGCATCATTTTGATGTGTCTGATGTTTCATGACTTTCTCAGATATACGTAGATACATTGCAGCTAATAGACATGCACATTAGTAATGAAAATTTCGTCATACAGGATATCGCACCGTTCCTAACATCGGTAATTCTCTACGAATCAAATGGCAATTAAGTTAAAGGAATTCGAAAACTCCCCTCAGGGTTCACAATCCACTCTCCTGCGATATGAATATATCCTCTTGAATATGTATATGTATACAGGAGGACCTTGTGCTTGATAATTCGTCAAAGTAGAAACAATGTCTTGTCGCAGATAAGCACAATGTTCTATCTTGGTAATACTTGACGAGTCACGACTGAACGTGACGCTTTGTAACGGTTACTTAACCATATTCTTTGGTCGAGACGACGTGAAAATCGGATTCTTCTCTTTCTTTGTTCCACGATGAGGGTCAGAGAAATTCCTTTCATCTGACGAACGAGAGTGACAGGTTCTGCGAGCGAGCGTAATTTCGTTCCCTTGCGTTTCAATGTCTTTTGAAAGTTCACGCACGTACATGCATGCTAACAGTGAATAGTTCATTTGTGTGGTGTTTTAACAGATTTCTGTTAGACGAATAATTAACAGATTTTTTTAAACATCGAATCACATGTATAGTTAATAGAGTAAGTGTATATGTATATACATATAAAAACCTCTTTAAAATTGAGAACTTTTTAAGTATAAAAATGTGCTAATGTTGCGTTAAGTAGTTTTGTACACTACATTCTTATCACATACAGCCTCACGAATGTATCCGAACACCATTCAGAACGGAATAACTTTTTTAATATTGGACCAAACAACATAATTTTGCTCTGAGATGCTAAAAGACTAACATTTACTTAATACGTACAAAAAATGTAAGTTATATCCACGTACAGAGTTCCAGAAAAATTGGTTAAGCTACAAACGATTAAAAATTGAAGAAACAGCATGTTTTCGCGACTTTTGACCTATAAGAGACTTACTGAGATAAATCGAAGGTATTGTAAAACAAGATTAAAAAAAATGGAATACATTACTTTAAAAGACGTTGAGATAATTGTGTTATCATGAGGTACGATTACGAAAAAATACATATGTATAAAGGCTAAATGGCACGTAGTTTTTGCTCTTAATTCTTAAACATGTATCAGAGGAAATAACATGAAATGTTTCATTTTCATGAATACACGTGTGACTTAGAATTTTTAATGTTTGATCAGAATACATTTTGAAATGTGTCAAATAATTATTGGAACAGTTGCATCAAGTGTAGGAATATGTCACGATCGCCGGCGAGCCTTCCTGGTATTATGCATGTTCCTCTTTTCTACGGTGCACGCGGTCATCATTTCCCGGTTGTGAGAGAGAACATAATGGACCGTGTTCCGGTCGCGATGACTCTTCCTCCCACGCTGAAGGAACGAACAAAGATCTCGTAATGTGATTTTCCGGCTTATCTCTCGATCTACTATTCACGATCGTTTGGTCATCCTAACTTCCACAGCGGACCATCATGTTTACTTATCTATAGTGCATTTTTAACTGCAATATGCTACACACTTTTAATCTACATTTGACTTTATTCACTGTTTCATATCGCGTATTTTAATCATTCTTACGTATACAGAACATAATCAGAATTGAATTACTTCATTTCCTGCCGTTGCTTATTCCACGAAATTCCATTCTACAATTTGTTTCCTGCAGTAATTCATTGATTCTTGGAAATGATACTGCACTCAATAATTCAGGATTTACGATTTCTCAGACAAATCTAAAGGATGTCATTGCCACACCGCGGACTAATTAAAATGCAAGGATCTTAGAAAATTCTGTTACCTACATTTTAAACTCATTGTCACCAGCAACGATTACATAATGCATAAAATCTACTTTGCAACTGGATGAATCTATAAATAGACACGGTATATAATAGATCTAGATATAGAAGTCAAAAGTCACTTTACGAAATTGTCAAGTGAACGTGAATGCTTTAACTCGTCGGCAAACTACGTCGCAAAATTAATCAACCTCCTGAACAATTTAATAATGTAGCCTACTGTCCAGCCAGCTGAAGAGGTCAGTTCAATATAGTCAGCGTATTTACCTGCGTACGTATCTCGTGCGTATGCACTGCGTGTATTTTAATCGAGACGTAAAAACGAAGATGAAAGATACCAATAAGTTATCAAGTGACCTGAATTCTACCGTTCATATACATATTATGTACTGTTATCTATTGTGAGCGACAAGAATGGTAGGGATTAAATTTCAAAACTAAGTAATCTAAACTGAAAAAGTATTTTCCGATTAATGAAAAGAAAATTTAGTAAATCGTTTATTTCTCGTATCGTAATGAATGATGAATAACACGAAATTTCATACGCATATGACAAACTTTTGCCAGAAATGATGCAATATCAACATAATTTTCATCAAAAAGGAGAAGTCAATAGTTCGCCAACCTATAGTCTAAATAATAACACACTAGCTCAAACAGTTCAATTTGTCTACAATTTATTTAACTGCTTATAAAAAGAGAAAAGAAGATGATTATAAATAAAAAATTGGTAAATTATATTTACAATAGAGATGACAGATAAAAATAACTTACATTTAATTTAATCGTTTATGAATGTAAAATAAGAAAAGTATATTGTTAAAATACTGTTTTTATCAGCAAAAAACCGATGCATACATTCTCTTCGTTTCACGAAAACTAATTAGAATTGAAAATACATTTACATCAAATATTTTTCAATTTATCTATTTTATATACTTTGTTTTATTAAATGCCCTTTCTATGTCTCGCTGGCTAGCTTTTTAATTTGAAATACTCACATTGCTTTGAATGGCTCTATTAATTAATATTCACTAGATAAAGCATAAGCTAAGACTCCCCGGTTAACGGTTCCTTTTCTTGGGTCAGGGCGGCGTGTAGTTGTCTTTCCTGGAGATCCTGTGCAAGTTTTTGCAACAGTTCCTTGAACACGTAGTTGTCCAAGTTCTTCGCTATATAATAGAGGAAAATCCAGTCCCCGTAGTGGCATTCATGGGTGACCGCCAACACGTTCCACGGATTGTATTTCCCAGGACAAGCCATGGAGAACACAATCTTGTTGAACAGCACGCTCCTATTCACATTAGAAGAAACAAATAATCGGTTAAATAATAATTATTAGAAGATGCAACGCTATGCCTGGAATGAATACTCGTTGAAATAGTTAACAAATTGAGAAATAATACAAAATTCTATACAACTTCCATTTGAAAACAGGACCAACTTGCACCGTATACGAAAATGTACATGCAAAGTTCCGGTTGAAAACTTCTTTGGCAAATATCTCGCAAACTTAAAATCGATCTACAATTTCTTGAAAGGGAAAACTCATTCAAAGTCCTACTTTCTACTAGATATATAGATTCAATCAAAATCGGTGAGGAGTAGTGAGGACATATGCTTTTCGAAAGTTCTTCAAAACCAGCATCAATGTCTAATCGTACTACATATTGTCTATTATTTAGGCAGTATTTGTATTTTAACAATTATTTTACGGAAAGAAAAATTATAATCGGAGATTCGCAGAAGTTTTCAAACTGTATTGTCATCGATTTCTAATTGCAGTTGTAGGTGTTCCGTGAAACGGGATTCTCGGAAAATAAGCTGTAGAATACGTCTAGGATCGATAAATACTAATTTTAGTAGTAGTAGTAGTAGTAGTAGTAGTAGTAATAGTAACCTGGCATGCAAAATCATAGTGAGTATCCTCCAAATGAGCCCGAAACCGGTTACCGTAGCGAGAATGATGAACCAATACCAGAGGAACACATAGATCTTCTCATTAACGATGTTCAACGCCATTATACAAAGTGCGTCATGGTTTTGTATCGAACCCGATGCACCGTATTTGTGGAATACGCATTTGGTCACCTGAAACATACCGATTCTCTGTTTTTTCTATATGTATGTATGTGAAAAAATTTCAGTCGAAGACTATTTTAAAATGTATGGTCGTTGATGGATGGCACACTGCAGTTGCCTATACACACGCGAGCTCTCGTAGAAAACAGATAGCGAAATATATGAAACCCGGACGGAACATTGCTTTGTCATTCAGTAACTAGGATATTTCTATTCGCTTCATAGCTTTTAGATAGCGCATTTTTTTAATTAATATTATCTAAGAAATGAGAATTCAGTTCTTATGTCGTAAAGATACCAAAATGTTACTCTACGAAAATGTGAGTAAGCATATACATACGCTTAATTTAAGATTGGGATTACAACTTTATCTAATCTTTCCATTTAATTGAACAGTTATAAAACGATAATATGATATTCTAAGAAAGAATTCCCTTAAAATAAACGAGTGTAATTTGGAATTTTATCTTCGACAAAATTATTGATACCAAATTAAAATTATGGTTTGGTGTTCTAAATATAATATAAAATAATAATTGTCTTTTTAAACTTAATTGTCTTACTAACCTAAATTATAAATCTTTAATGGAGGACGTATCTAACGTTATACTTCAGATGAAAATTCCATAATATTTTTTCATTGAAGATAAAATGTTTGTGAAAATCACGTGATATTAACACAAGAAAGATATGAATACTCCCATGACTCACAGTCATAATGTATCTATTAGAAAAGATGTGTGAACATGATTCACATTTTATGGTATTTTAAGCAAC